CAGATTCAAGTGATTCTCAGGTCCACCAAGCAGCTGGGACTACAGCTATGTGCCACCATGCCCGACTAATTTTTGGATTTTTAGCAGAGACAGGGTTTCACCATGTTGGTCAGGCTGGTCTCCAACTCCTGAGCTCAAGTGATCCACCTTCCTCGGCCTCCCAAAGTGCTGGGATTACAGGCATGAGCCACCAGCCCCGGTCCATGCATGTATTATTACTGTCAAAGTAGATAATTTAACAAACATCAATGAAATTTAAGATCTTTCACTCATAGGTGCAAAATATCATGCCAATTGCCCTCTAAGAGCTGTCATAAGCCACAGCCCAGAGATTCAAGTCCATTTCAATTTTCAACCAAACCCACCTCACAAACAAGAACGCGAAAAAGACAGAAATACCCACTACCCACAAGTTGAAGCTGAGGCTGTGACATGGCCCTGGCCTGTCATGGTGTGTCACAGTATGGCACAGGCCTGTATCATGTTCCCTAGATTGCTGACTACCAACTAGTTACAGCTGACTCTAATCAGCCCAGGATTTGACCATCTCTGCATTGAACCTGGAACTGCCACTTTTAAAATGGGAACACTGCTTCTCACCTCTCCCTGCTAGACTCCATTTCAGAGGAAAGCATCACAGGGAAATAAAATCCTTGTTTTTTCTTCCTTCTTTGCTTTGCTTTCTCTCTTTCTTTCTCTCCCTCCTTCCTTCCTTCCTTTCTTTTCTCTTTTCTTTTCTTTTTTTTGAGACAGGGTCTCACTCTCTCGCCCAGGCTGGAGTGCAGCGGCACGATCTCGGCTCACTGCAACCTCCACCTCCCAGGTTCAAGCAATTCTCCTGTCTCAGCCTCCCAAGTAGCTGGGATTACAGACTTGTGCCACCGTGCCTGGCTAATTTTTGTATTTTTAGTAGAGAGGGGGTTTCACCATGTTGGCCAGGCTTCTTTCCCTCCCTCTCCCTACACTTCTTTCCTTCCTTTCTCTCTCCCTCGCTACTTTCCAACTTTTAGCTGTGTTGAGTTTGTTGACTCATAGTGAACAAGCAGAAACTCCAATGATACTGTTACCTAAGAGGGAACTTTGCACAATGTTGCCGTGATTAATAATTCATTCACATAATCCTCAATCTCACAAAAGCCTGGAATGGATTTCCTGTTTGCTTATGGCAGGAAAGCTACTGTGGCCAGGCTCCAACTCCTCCCAATTAAGATAGCACCAGCCTTCTTAAGTAGCATGTGGCCCGGCTCTTAGGTCACGCCTATAATACCAGCACTTTGGAAGGCCGAGGTGGGCGGATCACCTGAGGTCAGGGGTTTGAGACCAGCCTGTCTCTACTAACAATATAAAAATTACCTGGAAGTCGCAGTGGGCGCCTGTAATCCCAGCTACTTGGGAGGCTGACGCAGGAGAATTGCTTGAACCAAGGAGACAGAGATTGCAGTGAGCCGAGATCGCACCGCTGCACTCTACCCTCGGCGACACAGCAAGACTGCCTCAAAAACAACAACAAAAAGCAGGACGTGAGACTTCTGCCTGCTCACTCAGAATCATTTCTGCACCAACCATGGCCACCTTTGTGGAGCTCAGTACCAAAGCCAAGATGCCCATTGTGGGCCTGGGCACTTGGAAGGTAAATATGCAAATCTTTGCGCAGCCTTCTTCTCTGGAGGGGCGTTTGGGTGTTTTCTCTTTCTGCATTCAGCCAGGAAAGCCTGGAGGTCGGGCAGGGGTTTGGAGAGGTGAGATTCCATCCTGGAGCCGGGACTCTGGTTGCTTTCTTTTCTCAGAGCTGATTCAGGCTGCAAAGCTCCAAGGCTGGCTTTCCCAGCAGTGCTGAGAGCTTCTCTAGCAGGTATCAAATTTCAAGCAGCTGTTGGATTTAAAATTGTTTTCCAGGGCAGTTTCTCTCTCTGGCTCTAGGACACTTAATTGGGCTCAACGTTTCCCCAGAGTCTTGGCTGTGGGTTTGTTGTGGGCTGGGTGGTTGCGGAGAGGATGCAGA